TGAAAGAATCAGAGTGGAAGTAGGGATTTCGTTTCCATTTTCTTTACGCTTGATCATGTACACATCTACAATAACTTGAGCTCTAAAGAATGATTTTAATTCTTTGTTTTCTCCAGCGAAGCCCTTGTGATTCACACCTTTGGTAAAAATTAAGGCTAAGCTGGATAGACCTCTTAATCTGGAGGCCGGCAATCTCTCTTGTTTTCAAAAGGTTTTCGATTTAGCTGTCAGTGCCAGCTTTGGAAAGCATGGTACCACTTCTCTCAGGAACCACTGCCATTTTCTTCTTTACAGAAGAAACTGTTGAGATATTCTTTCATCTCGGCCTCCGCAATGTCCACTTCCTTAGCGAAGAGAGCGGGCAGGAGGAGGGATCCACATGAAAGATTTCAATTCATCCCCGATCTCCCCACCCACTCAATTCAACAAGGAACACTCCACTGGCATGTCAGGGTTGACACGGAGATACAGTGGGGGGGGGGGGGGCTGACACCGCGCTGCCCCGCCGTGGCTTTCCGCGCTCACCCTGGTATTCCGTCAGAGACCTAATCCGAGCCAATTGATCGGGGGCGGGTTACCTCAGACTGTCCAGCCCGAAGAGGCAGAGGCCAAAAATAGTGGCAGCACGCAGTACATATACACACTCAGTCACCAAGACTGCTCGGAAAACACGTGGGTGGGCGTTCAGCATATAGAAGACCAGTGACGAAGTATAAAAGTGAAAAATAATATTTCTTGGTCGACCCGAGCTTGCGCGACAAGCACAGGTGCCTTAATGTACCCATTAATTCCAACGTTGGGCAACTGTGGCATCTAATTGGGCCTCAAGCCAGGCATTTGAATGATACGACCAACCAGCCTCATGAAGTCCCATGATGCGGGCTGTCAAATGCAGTCAGTTGGTGGATAGGTTGTCAAGAGGTATGGCTTCGCAGGTCCACGTAAACGCCGTTCTTCATTGTCAGACATCAGTTGACTAATAAAAACTGCACAATAGGTCGGTGAAATCAGAAATAAACTCTGGTGGGCGTTCTACACATTGCAGATACGTGTGAATCTATTCAGTTACTTACGCATCGATGGTATGCATGTATACCGAAATGGGATATTACTGGACCACTCCTGGGTGAAACACTTTTTTTGTGAGTCAGTGTATACATGTGTGAGAGAGTTGTTGATCTTATTTAGTAAAACAAAAACATGTAGATATATAATAGTTTTTCATTTAAAAGCAGAGCCGATTTTTTGTCAGATTCTTGAACAGTATCATCGACAAATAGTATTCGACTACTTTGATTTCTGAACATTTTGCCTGTAGGCCCGTGTTATTAGGGGGTAGAACTAGTGGTGCTACATCACGAATATTCTCGCATTAATTTTAATGTATGAATAACCTTCACGTGTTTCTAACCCATAAAATATTTGCTCACGCTTCAAACTTTGCACTACTTTGGCCTACCTACTTTCGTGTACTAATTACTTACCTACACTTCGTGAAGTATCTAAGGTTAAGTACAACTCGAGACATCGCGGGATCCTGGGTGACTGTCTGGGAACCCTGCGTATCTAAAGGCAATGACTGACTACGAAAAAGAAGGATTACTTTACTCCATGTTCGACGATAGTCATTATATCAATGACTGAAAACCAAAATGGTAGAAGTGACATTTTATAAATTTGTAGAACACTGTTGAACTCAATATTATTGTAACGTCATGGTGCTTTGTTCATCATTAAAACCACAGCATTTCAATTGTTCATTAAAACCATGAAAATACGAGTACATTGCAACTGAAATTTAGCCTAAAATAAACACTTTTTCTCAGAATTCATAAAATGACACTTATATCGTTCTGGTTTTCACTCATTCATATCAGAATGTTGTTACGAATAAACGTAACTTAAAAAATCTGACAATACAACACTTTGGAGGACGTAATTTACTACATATAGGAGAGAAAATATCTATCTTATTTACGTGGCCCTCAAAAACCCTTTTCTGTCGGAAATTCGCCACTTTTCGGTGCAGCATTACATACCGACGTACCCAGGCGAGAAATCAGAGTGACAGGCAGAGGAAAGAAATACGTTAGAGTCCACCTTAACAGGCCGTGGACCGACCCATCCCAACGGGAAAAATTAACATCTACGCCTTATGCTGGATCCGAACTCACAGTCTTGGTGTCCGCGTGTGGTCGAGCACGGAAGATGCTTGTGTTCCAAGCTCCTGCATTCATGGGTCTGCTAGCGAGGATAATGAATAGATAGCCGTACAATGTTCTTTGGAAGCCTACAACTTAAACTAGATTCCTGAACTAGAGGTGCGAATGGACAAGACTTGGACGTATAGGGCTGACGAGTGCATCCTGAAGATGGGATGCCCGCCAATAGGAGCATCCGACAATGAATACGCACTTTTCCTATGTCTCTGCGTTTCCGATGTCTGTTGATGGGAACTTGGAACAGGTCTGCGGCCCCTGAAAGATGATTCTGAAGGTATCGAGATTTAAAGAAATATTTCAGCTTTTCTTTGCGTCTTTACTGCGAATTTATCTTTATTCCCGACTCTCTTCGAATATGTAAGGCTAGATTGATTGGATAGTTCAACATGGAGATTGGCAATGCATTCATCTTGTTCGACTTCTCAATATTGTCTTAGGTGGCGTCAAAGAGAATGGTGAAACTTATCCGACACACCTTGGTCTGAAGCATGACAAAAATCGATTGCAGCATCATTGTTTTCTCCACTCACCACGGTGACAAACGAGGGGACGCTCTTCAGGAGTACCAGTATAGACACTGGGGTACAGCGAGGAGAGAAAGATGTTTCATCGCCGCTTGTAACCCACAGGAGACCATGACACTCCACACTCACCTTGGAGTTCAGCACCTAACTCGTCCCAGCTGATAGAGTAAATACGAACATGACTGAACAGGTTTGACTCTGAGCATCTGGAAGATGCCTCTTCCCACGAGCGAAGCCATTGTATTGGACCCCATCCAACGACCAATGTTCCTCGCATCCTTAAGGATCTGGGATTCGAAAACCAACACACTATGCATGACACCCACCTGTAAAACTACAGTGTCAGGAGAGGAATTCTTTAATCTCGACTATCAAGTCTGCTATTTCCGCCGACACTTGTAGCTATGCATGGCAAATACACGGGTAGCCTATAAGCACAGAGAGAAAGTTGTGACTACCAATCTCTTTTGAACCTCTAACGGAAGCGAATTGTAGGGATTCCTTTTAAAGAGTAAAAACACATTTGCGAGTAATTATTCATGTTTAGAATTTAGTTGTAGAAAGGTTGATTATTTTGCTGACAAATGGTAACTTTTGAACTAAGCCACCACGAAATCTTGTATTCAATGACTGGTCTTCCTAAAATTTACCAAAATAATTACTAATCATTAAGTTTCCGTTTGTATTAATGAATCACCCATATTACTTATTTCCGATGCGCGCAGGAATTGAAAGAAAACTACACAACTTGCTGCCACGTGAGAAGTGTTTCGTTAGATACCCAGGAACTGGCAAAAAATCAAGAATCATCTATAGTAACTAATTTCCAATGCGTGCAGAAATGTAAAGAAAATGATGTAGTCTACTGCCATGCTACGTACCGAACTCGAGGAAAAAAAAGAAAGAACGAAAGAAAGTACTAATTTTGAATATACTTAATAACCGACGGAAAAAAAAGGCCATGCGAGCTGTGTCTGTAGTTTCTTTAGATGCCTAGGAACTTGGGGAAAATACAAAACAATGAAATAGTATAGATTTTGACTGAAATATGAAAATATTCGATGTTAATCCAGAATTTCTCATTCTGCAACTGAATTCTTATTCTCAGTGCGTGACGACACTGCTGAGTTTATGTGATAGCATGACTTCAAGGAAGAAGCCGCCCGCCATTAATACTTGCTATTCGCGTGTTGCATTATGGAAAAGCAACTTTTATAAAAAACTTCTTGGTATGTAGAAAACTGTTTTATATACTACACTATGATACTGCAGCAGTCAAGATGTTTTTCAGTATATTTAATTTATTGTAATGTTGTACAGGCTGTTTTAGTTGTTGGACAGTGTTCGTGCTTTGTTTTGGAAAACCTTCTTTGGGTGGCTTCATAGCATTTCTGCTGCTCCAGGCACTAGTAATAATTTCGTGCAAAAGGAAAAAAAATGTTAACGAAATACCACTTAACTTGATGTCTCAAAACAATGCTTATTTGTATGTAGAAACATAAAAACTGAGAAATTAAATGTGTATGAATATCTCTTGTAACAATATTGTACCAGAAATAATAAATTGGCAGCTCACATCTCGATACGAAAAAATATGGTCAAAAGTCCATCACTGACAACTATTCACTATTACCGAAATTTAAATAATAATAATAACTCGTGTGCGGGCAAATTTTACACATTAACTTCACATTTGCTCAATAGATAAATTTTGAAGAACCTCATGGAATTTAAAATTACCTTCATTTACTTCAATTATTCATTTTTATCATTACATCAACCTTACGCGTTTGATTTGATAGCTTTCGTTAAATCTCATTAACTCTGGGACAATCCATTTTAAGTGGTCCAGCACTAGTTGACCAATCATCACAGAAAAAATTAAAGCTGTAACTATTTTATCTTTGAAAAATGACTCTCTAAAAATCGAAATTTGCTTTTCCGCGTTCGATAGTTTTGGTTGCCAATAATATCCAAATAAAAACATATTAGGTAGACTATTCCACTCATAAGCTGCGATTTGTCTATCTTGGGAGGCGGTAAGCATTGATCGAGGGGTTGATGTGCAGTAAACCGTGTATGTACTATAAAGCAACTCTTCGATTTTAACATGCTTTCACTTATTTTCTATATTTGACGCATTTTGAAACTCTGTTGAACGTAATTTCATTCGTGGAATAGTACTATTAAATATCACTCGTGCACTTAAAATGGAATGACCCTCTTAAAAATACCTAAGTGCAATTTGAAATACCTGTCAGAAAAATAGAAGCGAATATACTTCAATATGCGTTCAAAGGATACGATCTGTTCTGCTTGTGGCAGTCTGCTGCTTTCAGAAGACATTCTTTACACTGCTGGAATGATTTCGCGTTTCGAAAGCAGGTGGCTGAAACAAAAAAACAAGCAAAGCTTCAAATAATACAAATGTCAAAACCCAATAGTGAAGTAGTAACATTAAGCAGCGGATTGTCGGGGAAACTGGGAAGTGCGGGTAATTAGGGAAACCCTCTCTTTGGTCATATTGATGACATTAGTTTCGTAGCTTTTAGTGTACCATGCTCGTAATGACCGTATTCAGTTTCATGGCACTTATACGCGACCACATGCACGTTTAAGTTCGTGAAATAAGAAAATATAAAACACTATGTCCATTCCAAAGTTGTTTTTTTGAGCGATCGTAATTCTACCATTTTAAGAATAAATGAAAAGTCAGTACATGAAAAGTATTCGTTGGAATGTTATGTTATCGTTTTAAGGGATTTTGCAACAACAAAATATTGTGATATGGAAACACTTGTACTTTAATGGGTAAACCGAGATTCATCAAAACGACTTTGAGACGTTATTTAGAGTTGTGTGGGCTACAAGACAAGTTAACTCTTTTCTGCCTAGTGTGATTTATACGTTAGACTCAACATTTTAATATTTTTGTATTTGCATTTTTAAATTATCCACTCTTTTTAACCTGTGATCCTCTCAATATAGGTTCTCTCAATATAGATCTCAATATAGGTTAAGATTAGAGCTCGTTAGTCTTTTGTACTTGTACATTTGTGTTATTAAAATAAATATATTTTTGTAACAGACTTTTTCATGATCCGCCTAGCGTGACACACCTCATATCTCAGAAACTAAGATTGCAAAAATTAAATATAACTCCTTTTTGGGTTCTCTTGTATCAGAAGGTTCGTCGAATATTTATAAA